ACTGGCCCCTAGCCGACTGGACTCATCGTCCAAGTCCCGCAGAAGTCAGTGGCAGTGATTCATATACTGTAGGTCACTACCATTCCAGACAAAAAACTCCACAAACCCAGGCGAACTTGCTAGTGACAGATTGGAGTTTTAGTTATATAGCAGAGCTGGCACTGTTGGTTGAGCTAAATCTCCATGAGTAACGCCAAAGAAGCTTTTAGGAGTGAAAATGATATAACTTGGACGGAAACTACAAACTCTGAAAATATTAATAGATTTTCAAATCCATATTAATTCTTAATTTAATAAGTCTTAATTCGAGTTAAAGTTAACTCCTGAATTTGCAGTTTTTAGTTTGTATTTCAACTGTAACAGGGTCCACAAGGTCCACTTACTAGTTTTTTTACAGAGCTTTCAACTGCTTCTCACAGCGTTCCTCAGTGGATGTAGTTTGGTTAGTTGTCATGGATATAGCACAGTTGTCAATTGAAATATACAATTATGGTGCGTGAACAGAGATTGAAAAGTGAGCATACTCCCTCTGCTGAGAAAGACTGTGAGATGGGGTTTGAAAGCTCTAGAAAAACTAGTAAGTAGACCTTGAGTTAAGGGATTCATATTTTTACCAATACTAGTGGTATGGCTTTAGGGGTGACAACGTCATTAGCTGTTGGTCCTCAGTGGGGTCACCACTTTGGTCCAACCTGAAATATATAAATATAACTTTTGGATGGCTTGCCATGCAGTTTTTTTAACACATCATCAGGGTCTCCATGCAGATTATGAATCCTCCTGACCTTCAGCGGCCCCCGTGATTTGACCTCTAACACCACCAGCAAGTCAAATGTTTCACTAAACCTGTAAAATAGGGACAGATTTATGAATTTAAAGGAAAAACTTGAATGAAGCAGTGGCGAAATAAATGCAGATGCTTTCATACTGGTCAAGAGGGGCCACTGAATGGTTTGATGAGAATGAAAATAACGTTAATCTACAACACTTACGAGAGAATGGAGAAGCTTCCAGAAACCAGGAGGTTTGTGATGGTTTTTGATGGCTCCAAAATGTGTACAGGTATTCCTGGTTCCCAGATGATGTACCCAAATGACATTGATGACCCCCTGTGTTTTCCTTTCGGGCCACCATGAGGTTGACACTGGTGGTTTTGACTAAAATGTCTGATCAACTTGTGAATGAATTGTCATAAAATTTGATACACTCATTGTCATTGTCCCACACAAGATGGATTTGTTGGTTTATTTCTCTCTTTGGTTTATGATGGTTTATGACTAAATAACTGCAAAAGTGTCATTAATCGCAGCAGAACTTCAAGTTTAGTGCTGATTAGCAAATGTTAGCATGCTAACATGCTAAACTATATAAAAAATAGAAAAACTGAAGTTGCTTAAAGGGACACTTCACCCATTTGCTTTAAGCTTTGTATCATTAGAACCCCAGTCATATTTTTGAATGGTCGTTTTTTTTTTCACTCACGCTACAGACCTATTACAGATCAGTGGGTGGGACTTCACTTGCAGAAACTAAAAAATATAACCGCCATCTTGTTTGGAAGCTAAGCGGAGGTGCTGTCGAGCCAGACGTTACGACTATGTTAATCAATCTAATATGGAAGAAATTTCGTAAGTATGATGGTTGAATCAGATGTTCGTGGCTACCTTTATGAGCCGCAATATAGCGAGCAGCAGCTGAGGCTGAACAGGAGGCGGCTGAGGCTTCTGCAGCCGAGGCAGAGGACCTGCCTGTCGCAGACGAGGGGCCCGGACTGGCTCGAGCTGGGGCGGACTGCTGGTGCCTGTGCTCGCTGTGCGCCTACGGACACACGGACGCCTGACTGTAAAGTGAGTGTGGCACGCTCAACACAAAGACCATGCATCTCTAACTGTGTGCTCAATGTCTTGTAGACAATATCGCCTTTCTGGAATGGGTCCTGCAAGGCGAGAGATTGGGTCGAGGCCATCGTGTCGTTTTACCCGCTTTTGTGGTGCAGGCTATCCGACAGAAATATCCAGCTCCAGATGGCCAGTACTGCGGGCACCGAGGAGTTGAGGACGCTCAGGAGGAACTATAACTGTCATTGTTAACATATTTCTTTTTGTTGTTGTTGATTTATTTCTGTAAATAAATGGTTTACATTCACGTTGTTGTAGTCCTTGATAGTGTTAGTGGGAGCGGCTTGCGGAGCTGTGCATTGTGGGAGTTGTTGTCTTCCATACAAATGCGCCCTAAAGTCACTTTCTGTCTTTTCTCGGTCAAATAGGCACCAAATTCAAAATGTATGTTACATTTCGACTACATATATAACCCACTTTCAATAAATATTAATGTTTCCACGGGTGAAATGCTCCTTTAACATCAGCATGTTGGCATTCTCATTATAAGCGTGTTAGCATGCTTATGTTAACATTTAGCTTGCTAGCTGAACTCTCCTAGCTTTGCTTTGTAAAGTTTTTGTTTGTGACCAGGATATTCAGGATTCAGAACTTTTCTCTGGGTATAAGGTAGCATGGCTAGTAAGCTGGTGGGTCAAGCTAAAATGCTAAGAAATCATTTTAACAGCTTTTACTGCAGTTTTAAGAGGGTAGAGCTGTAACACTTTTGACTGAGGGTGTTTTCACCCCTGCCTTGTTTAGTTCGGTTGAATCGAACCCTGGAGCGTTTACCCCCTTGGTGCAGTTTGTTTGGGAAGGTGTGAACACATCAATCGCACTCAGGTGCGGACCAAAACAACCGGACCGAGACCTTATTGAAGAGGTGGTGGTCTCCGGTTCCAAACTAACTCTGGTTCTCTGGTTTGTGGTGAGAACATGATCCAACCTCGAACTGACCCAACTACAGGAAGCATTGCGCCTGTTTTTGACTAAACCACCTCCCGTAGCCAGCTCTGCTGGCCATGCTGTGTTGAAGACCACAGGCGTAACGTTACCTGATGGATCTTCGGAAATATTTTTGGCTGATGAGCATGTCACAGTTCAGGAGGATTAATGCGCGCCTCCGCCTGAACTGTCTTGATATGCGTCGTTGGCGACTCCAGTGCATCATGATATTATTTTCCAGCTTCAGCCTCGCCTCATTTTCAAACTGTACCGTTTGCCTACAGTGATAAGTGCAAGCTATGTAATACACAATGACCAGGGCCAAGAGCAACCCGCGTAGTTGTCCCTCCATTGTAAAATTTAAAAGTGGCGCTCTGGAGTCTGCTCTTCTTTGTTTACTTCCGGGAGTTTTCCCGCATGGAAATTCTGACCAATTAGAGAGCAGTTTCCTTGCGCATCACACATTTTGGTCTGCTTGTAAATGCTGCTTTGTGAACACAAACCAAACTCGAGGCCATATGCAACAGTGTAACAAGTTGGTCCCTGATTCGGACCAGAGCAAACGAACTATAGGTGTGAAAACGCCCTAAGGAATGGGGACTCAATACAAAATTAATTGGTACCCATGTGTGATTGAATGATTAAATGTTTTTAGTCAAGCAAGAATGCAAAATATTTGCTGGTGCCAGCTTCCAAAATGTGTGTACTTTCTGCTTTCCTCTGTTCTATATCATTGTAAACTGCATATTTTTGGTTTTTGACTGTTCGATAAAACAAAACACTGAATCAATACCTTGAATTCTAGGAAACGCTCGTTTTTTTTCTTAATTTTCAGAAATTTCTTAGGTTTCAGGCAAAACTATCAAGCAAAAAAATGAAAGAAAAATAAATCTAGCCAGTCTGTCTTAGATACTTTGTAGCTCACTTGTTTGATTACCGTGAGAGATTCAGCTTTAGCTCTCTTTGTGTCACAGGTGGTGGTGACCACCTGGTGGCGCATATCTCAACACCACCTGGAACACTTCAGAGGAAGGTAGAGCTGCAGCTGAAACTGTCAAGGTAAACAGACAAGCACACTAGCCAGTCAGTGAGGAGCAACTCACAAACAAAGCCTCACAAAATGTCATCTACTCATCTACTCTACTCATGTCTCTCTCGCTAAAAAATATTACTTAGCCAATTAGATTATTTTCGCCTCAGTGTTCAGAGAATTTAATTTTCAGTGTCTTGCTCATGCACTCTTCAATTTAAAATATGAGCAAATAGATAACTGTTTGTCATTAAGGTCATAAAGTCGTAACACATATACAAAATAAATGTTCACCTTATTTTTATAATTGAAATTCCTCTCCACGTGCTAACGGAGCCACAAACTTCAAATCAAATCATGTTTTTTCTCACTCATGCAGTAAAATGTGCTGTTGTGCCGCAGTTATGCTTGTATAGCTGATATTATAAAGCTTCTGATGCATATGCTGCTCTACAATGTAAAGACCTGTTTCCCTACATGCTGTATGATGAGCTCCCCAGTCTTTATGCAGAGATGGGGGGATACCCTGTCTTTGCAATACAATGGGTTCAAATCTGGCCCGTGACTTCTCTGACCTCATATCTCTCTCTGTCTCCCGGCATTCCTTTCACACCACAGAATACAGTGTTATCTAACACTGCAGAGATGCAAGGAAAGTAGGGTTTCGTGTTTGCATTGAATGCTCTTTTACGATGGGAATAAAACCCCATTGATTTCTACCAACCACATATAACCAAGCATAATTTATGAGGGGATTCTGTATCTGTCTGTCAATATCCAGAGTTATACTGACTTCCTTTGCAACAAAATACTCTTGCGGGCTTCAGTGGCTTTTATGCAACATATAAAAAAAACCCTCAATAGTACTTCAACAACAGCAGCTCAGTGTGCAATAATCCAACAGGTTTATGTGTCCTCTCACACTCTAAGCTAACAATATAATAGACTAGGCTATTTAAACTTGCTGAGTCTGTACAGATTGCATTAGAGAAATGGCTCATATAGTGTTGTTTTCCTGTTTCACTCCAGCCATCAATTAATATGGAACAAGCATGTTTTGTTATGCAAAAAAATTTTGTGCATAATTGCTATCATGAACACCTGAGCAAAAAAAGCAATTTCTCATTGATACAATAGACAGGACTCACGAGAGGGTCTTCTCCAGCCGCCCGCCTGTGGAGCCGATGATTTCTCCAAGGGTACAAAAGGTCTGGCCCAGAAAGTCCTTTGGGGGAAAAACGATAGAAAAGAAAGAATTAATTGCATGACAGGGCCAAGAGACGGGTCCAGACTCTAAACAACAGAAAAGTACCGTAAATATGACCTGCAGAGAACTTCAAGGATAGTCACAATTTTTACAGTGTCATAAAACAATACTCACATGCCCATATGTACATTGAAACTGTTTAGGCTCTGTTATCTGTCCTCTTCTTCATAATGGCCCTTATCCTTCCTAATGTTTTTCTAATGTAAGTGATGAGTGACAGCCCACCATCCTTCCATACAAAACTCCATTCTGATGTTTATCTGAAGCTAATATGATGTTTCAGCAGTCTGTGTTAGAAAAATAATAAGGATCAGTCTTTTTAGTACCAAATTACCTCTTTTCAGGTCCCTGGACAGAGTCAGAATTATGGCAGAGGGACAGTAACACAAAGAGGGAAAATTGTACAAATAATAACATAACGTATGAAGATCCCGTCTGAAACAACATATTAGCTTTAGCTTAACTTTTAAAGAATGTCCTTCCGTTGATTAAGTAACAGTTCTCAGCTCAAGTCTCAGCTCTCCAGCCAGTTTATGTGATTCCAGTGCTGTTTATTTATAAGAAACTGCATGGGATTAGCATAAAGTGGGCATGTCTGTAAAGGAGGGACTCATGGGTACCCATAGAACCCATTTTCACATATCTTGAGGTCAGAGGTCAAAGGACCCCTTTGGAGGTTTTGCATCGCCAAGATTTTGCCTAACTTTGGGGCGTTATTTAGCCCTCTTCCCGACAAGCTACCATGACGTGGTAGGTACCAATGGGTGCCAAAAGTCTTGTTGTCCCCACTATTCCAGTGCCAGTGAAGTTTGCTATAATTTTGTTATTACTGTATTTTCTTGTGTGCTGCATACCATGTGATCTCAGTTGTGAGTGGCAAAATGAACGAGTGAATGAATAGAAGTAGAAGTCCCTGCTTGTTGCAGCCATGGTGCAATATTCATTTTGCACACCTCTAGGACACTGCAGTGTGCTCAGTGGTGACAGATTCCAATTTATTTGGAGGGCTCTTAAACTTTTTGAACATATGAGTTTATGAGTTAGCATCAAGGGAGCCAGCTCATTAAAATATATGAATACTAAACTAATTACTCTACACATTTCTGGACAATAAACACTTAATAGGCTCAATAGGAATTCTGAAAGACTATAAAATCATCAGGGATAGTAATAGAGATACTGAAGTTATTAAAGTCCCATTAAAGTGTAATTTCATGTTATTGAAGTGTCATTTTAAATGAAATTGAACTAAATTTAGGGTTTAATTCCACCTTTTATATGAGCATGGACCCAGCTAGGTCAAGCCCAGGAAGTCCTAGTGGAGTGCTTGTTGACCGATTGATTATTCTTAAAAGGACCACACTGTGCATAAGGCAAATGTCCTCATTGTAGAGAAGAGTGTTCCCCTTCAATCAGCATTTTCACTGAAGAACAGATTTTGAAGTTTACAACCAGCCCACAAACTACAGGGAGAAACATATGGCAACATTAAAAAGCAGAGAGATGACACAACACAATAAAACTGCACAGCAACAAGGGCAGAGCGCTATGTGTTGATGTTTGTCATGTGTGGGCGGGAGCAGGTGTAGGTGTGAGTCCCACAAACTGAATGTGTGTAGCTCCTGTAAATGTCCTGACATCCACAATCTGCTGTAGTACACTGTCTCAAACAACAACAGCTGCTATCACTTTGAAGTTGAGTTCTGAAAGTTGCTTTACCTGAGCGAATGATAAAATGCAGACAGAAAAAATGATGGACAACACTACGGGGGAAGCTTTCCTGATGGGAGCTGCTGGTGTCTCTCCTTGATGAGAGGAGATGAAAGAGTGGGAGAAAAATACAATAAAAATAAAGTGAATGAAATGCAAAAAAAAGAGAAAAGAAATCACATAGGTCTCCTCTGGGGACACTGAAATATATTGGAAAATAAAAGGTGAAATGAATATTATAGCAAGGCTCATGTGGATTATACAGTCTGCATATACAGCACTCACCTTCTGCTCTCCCACATGAGTTGGTTTGTTAAGAAGAAAAGAAGAGTTTTGTCACAAGCTGGATTTACAGTACCCTTAATACTAGAGTAGACTAAATAATAGACTTTATTCTTGCTGAATCATCATTATTCCTCACTCATTCACTGTAAATTAGCTTTAACAGTATGAGTAATGCTGAATACAATGTGATACATTTGAGGGCTGATGGAAGTTGTCAGCGCTGAGTCAAAACTGTCATTTGAGTTCGACATACTGTACTTACGTGTTTGGAAATGTTACAGCTTCTGGAGTCCACATTGTACCTGTGAGAAACAAATGGGTGATAAGACTGGAAGAAGTTGTGTTTGAAGAGATTCAGTGCCACTACATGTTCCACTGGTATTAGTCTTGAAGAAATTGAGCTGTTTACTTCCAAAAGCGCTGACCTGCTTCATTTTTTTATTTGCTATTAATCATTGGAGTTGGGCAGTAATATATTAGGCTACTGAGTAACACATTAAAATACTAAAGTTTTTCCAGTAACAGGTAATGTAAGAGTAACAGTTTGAATATTCTGTAGTTATACTGCCTTTACTAATCCCAGTAATGTTCTATTACTTCAGAGCACTACTGGGATCCGGGTGTCCGAGGGCTGCATTACGGAAGAACTGGAAGCAGCGTTGGATGCATGGCCATGTTCATTCCTATGGAAGCCGCTCATTGCCACATGAGGTCAAAAGAGTTTGACAAAGTACCCAGATTTTCTGAGGAGACCACCTCCTGTAGCCGTCCACGAACTTGAATACGGATAAAATGATTTAATCATGTTATAAGTTCAGTCTAGACCGGCTCCATCTGAAAAGTGTCCTGAGATAACTTCTGTTATGAATTGGCGCTATACAAATAAAATTGAATTGAATTGAATTAATCGTGTGGCTATTTCCAAATGATTGTGGACTGAATGGATCAAATTCTGATCTTACACTTAAAGACATCTGCCTCTTTTACAAGCTTATGGGAAAAAGTATTTTGGGGTCAGTGTTCATCAAGTGACGTCATCATTGCTGTCATTGCACGGTTTGGCCACTGTGTCATAGGCTTCAAAGCCCGGCGCTCATCCTGGGAGCTAGGTGTGTCCAGGATGTATTAGCTTGACTTTGGGGCGGGGGAAGGCAACTAACCCTTGTCAAACAAGAAGAGATCCTCTTTCTGGTTATTCAAAATGAATCTGGTTTACGTGTTCTTGCTTTGCTAGCTAGCCACTGGCAAGGCTATATTCAGCTCAGGACTTCTGGAGTGCTCTGTGGCATCAGGGCTAAGCTAGCTGTTGAGGGTCAGTAAAATAGCCTACCTAAGTTACAAAACATTTATTATTTCTACATATACAGAAGAGACATGTGGGTTTGGAGTTTGTTGAAAAGTAAAGCTCAAGTGACAAGTAGGCTAATTAGCCTACTTTTGCCGTTGAATAAAATAAGGGAAATATGATTCTTTGTTTATTATGGGCACGGAGAGAAACCACCAGCACTTAACTCCCCATAAAACAACTAGTTTTTACATTACCGTTTGTGTACTTTGTAATGTGTAATTAAATAAACTAGATATAACTCCTCATTACTGGACTAGCTTTAGAGGTGCTGCTACACATATTTTTAAACTTTGGCAAGAAACACGCTAGCTAGTTCCCCCTGCCTCCTCTGTATGCTAAGCTAAGCTAAGCTTACTCCATGCTCTAACTTCATTATCAACACAGAGAAGACAAAGTGTTATCCATCCTCTCATCTTTCCCTGAAAGAAAGTATATGAGAACATTTTCTTAAATGTCTTTTAAAGATTTTGAATGGATAATAAACAACTAGTAAATAATACGTAATGTGTGTCAAGTAATTTGCCCAGCACTGTAAATCATTAGCACCTTTTCCATTTAATTAAGTTTCTTTTGGACGAACTGACCAAGAGCCAAGAATAAAAAGGGGTAAAGTGCTGTTCTAAGGCCTACAACCTCTCACTTTTGTAGTATCTGCATTGTTTCACAAAAAGCTGATTATTTGGGTACCGAACATAAAAAATGACATAGCAGGAGGGATGCTCTGAGGTTGGAAATACGCACCAGCATCATCACAAATAATGCACCTGTTCCATTTTCATGTTCACACTGTATACGAGCTGCTGCTCTATACCCAACTGAGCAGTGAAAGCAGATGTCTGATGCCTTGATTAAAGCTACAGAGGCAAGTAAGTGATCCTTCCCTGCTATTGATCATGGATAACAGGTAGGTGAACTGAACAGAATAACCAAGTGGGTAAACACACACTAATTTAATCAGCATGGCTAAAAAGAAGTGGCCTTTTTTTTAAGTCTCCTTCTTCGATTGGACATCATAGCATCTAATTTTAGCTGTGATTGGCCTGTTCATTTATCCGAATCGAGCAAAATTATCTTTTTTGTCAAACTGAGGACCTGCACAGAGAGAAATTATTCTAATGCAATCAAAGGCATTGCTACCTTCTGGTTACTCTGAATCCACATTGAGGTATTTACACAGCAGAATGTATCCAAGTTTAAATGAATTCAGATTTATTCAGGAAAAAGAAAATGACTACTTACACATCAAACCTTAGATTTTGTTTCTCTTCAAAGAAGAAATCCAGGACAAACTTCCTGACGAAATCTGGATTCCGAGTGTTATCGATTACCTCTGTCCTGCCAAACTACAAAAATAGAAAAAAAGTGATTATTGGCATTTATTACATGTTATTATAATAATAATGAAGAAGAAATACACCAGAGAAAGAATAAAATTCATGAGATTCAGCAGCAACCCATATTACCATTGTAACATTCCACACAGGATTGGAATCCATAAATACAAATCTCCTTTGCAAAAATATGACAACACTCTATCACACTGAGCTCGTCTGTGCTGTGTGCTAAATCTGGTGTCCCAAGAGAAATCAGACTGCTACATTAAATCTACATTAGAGTCAGCTCTCCACCCTGCGAGCCCACAGAGTCTCGGTCCCAGCCTCCCTCCTGGGCCAGGCCGTTTTCTCCATCTCCCTGACAATCACACCAGTAATCCCCCTGGTGGACTGCCAGCCTCGCCTCCGCGGCCTGGCCCGACAGCACCGTGTAATGAGCTATTGATCTTGGCACTGCCTCGCTGTTGCCTCAATACCTCTACTCATGTCTTTAGTGTCCAGTGCACATAATCCGTGCTATCAACTGCGTCCCTAGCCTATCCATTACCAAAGCCTCGAAGGGGAGTGTATTGGACCTCAGAACGTACCTGCCGCATCGACCCAAAAGGGAAAATCCCATGATATTTTACTTGTAGTGTTTCTATTCTTAGGGCTGGAGGCCTTTGGTTTATAATCTCACTCAGGTGTGATTGGTTAATAGGTGTTGGGGCGTTGTGGGTGAATGTAAGGGAATTGCTTTGTTACTGGGGGAGATGTGAGAGTAAGCAGAGCAGTTGGCAAGACAACTATTGGTGGTGCACAAAAGAAGGATTTGTGCTCAAAGGTCCAGTGTGTAACATTTAGGAGGCTCAACTGACAGAATTGTAATATAATATTCATAGGTATGTTTTCATTAGTGTATAATCACCTAAATATAGGACTCATTGTGGTTTTGTTACCTGAGAATGAGCAGTTTATATCTACATACACTGTGCGTCGCCTTCCATGGAGTCCACCATATTGAACCGCCATGTTTCTACAGTAGCCCAGAAGGGACAAACCAAACATTGGCTGTACATAGGGGTGTATGTGTTTTGTCCACATTATGTGACCACCGTAGTTTCTCCTTCGTGCTTGGAAGGGGAGGGTGAAGCGACAGAGTTATCTGCAACTACATCACTAGATCCGACACACTGGACCTTTAGACATGTGTGAACATATGCACAGCTGTTGTCTTAAAAGAAAATATTTATGAACCAGTTGATTGTAGAGATTTTGCCAAGGAAATCTGCAGGTCTGAAACTTACTACTGGGTGTGTCCTATGGCTTACTTAACGGGTATTACAGTAAAAGTACAGCAGCCCTACAATATTTATTGTGTATGGGATAGTTAGTATTTTTTGTGTCAAAAGTCAACAGAGATTGTGCACATTTCAAAACGTGGGTCAGCTGTGTTTATCCTAGAGCTGCAGAATGGAGTGAACTGGCCCTGAACTTTGTTTGTTCTACAGCATGACCTTGGTAGAGCTCATGTGGACTCAGCACCTGGAAAGAACCCAGATACAGATGTATTCAAGCTCATAATAATTCAAAAGGCTAATGGGTGATAAGAGCCAATTATTTATTGGTATTAGTTATCCCTACTCTGACTATAATTCTAAAGCCTGTGAAAACTAAATTAAATGTAATTAAAATCCTAAATATTTTTTAGCAAAGTGACTGTTAAACAGTCCAATTTAAATAGGGAAAAAAACATTCCTAAGTTATTACATTTCACACTCAAAACTCAGCTAATCGTTTTCATCAGAACTGTGTGTGAGCCTGCATTATGTTCTGGGGATTGTAAATTGTTTAATTCAAAGAGTTTTATTGCAGAGGGGAAAGCCTTGTGACAACAAATGCGCTTTAAGGAAAACATAATGCCAACCAAATTACATTTTTATATTAACATAACGAGGAAATGTTATTAATTAAGTAGAGGGCAAAAAAATATGTATACTTATCAGTATCAGTAAAATGTTCACTGACAACGTATTGTTTCACACCAAAACAGCCAATCTTGCAATACACTATCCACACATAGTGACAATTGCATTATTTATCTTTTTTATAGTTATGTTTAGGCACTGGCAACAAAAACTCAAAGAAAGTTAGTTGTTGCCTTTTTTTTTGCCTTGCAGTTTATTCAAAAGATGTATTTGGTGGAGTAGTTTATACTCCAACAAAGCAGGTTAAATAAAAATTGATGGTGCGACAGTTTGGGCTCTCCAGCACTCTGTTCTCTCAATGTGAGTTTCAAAGTTCACCAAAGTTGAATTATGCAAGCCAATGCACTAATCACGCTGAATACATTACAATGCATTGATTTCACCACAAAATTCAGCTCATGTTGGTGTGACCAGGACTTAAATTTTTCCAGTTTTCCAGTGTGTGGTCACACATGATTGTTTGTAGTCCTCCATGGGCAGCAACTGATTTGTGGGAGCATGTAAGTGGAGGATCATATCCATAGGCTGGGAAAATGGAAGCACTTGAACAGAAAACAGTTTAATGTACTGCACAGCCTGGTGCCACAGGAGCTGTAAACAAGCATAAAAAATGGACAAAATAATAATAACCTTACTCAAATCACACACAAAAAAAACCAACAATGGAAGGCAGAATATGGAGTAGTTGGAGACATGTTAGACATGGACAATATAGTGATAGGATAAAATATATGCTGCTTGCACAGATTGTTTTGTGCTTGCTAATAAAGAATGCTAAGGCACTATGTGACAGAATGTTCTGTTTTTCAAATTATATATCAAGTATTGACATAATGCAAAACATGATGTCAAAAGAAAACAAAGGATCTGTCAGGTTTCCATTAAAGCACAATTATCTGCTCGGTGTCAATATGTGTACGGCCGACAGCGAGGTGTTTACTCTGCTGATTGCGGTGCAATTCATGCCGTGTTTTTGATTAAGCCCTGTCACGTGGAAGAAAAAGGTGTGAGGAGTCTTGAGGTGAGGGGATCAGCAGTGGCAAAGCCCTCACTGACACATCGGTGTTGACTTTGAATTTCCAAATGAAATACACCACCTAAAAACAGAATGCTATAGGCAAATTATATGAAAATTTCTGAGAAATGATGTGTGCCAGGAAATAAAAATCAAAAGGGGAGGAATTCAAAAAAGCAGCAATGAATGGAAGGTCACATGACCCCGACTTAAAAAAGAGTGACAGAGGGCGAGACAGCAAGAGGTCAAAGAGAGCAGACGGTGCATATCTGATGAAACCTTAAAGGAATTTCCCTTCTTTTTCTCCCAGCCCTGAGCCATGAAGTGAATTGATTTTTTATCTTACATCAGATACCTGACATAATCAGATCAATTGTATTAATGTATTCTTTAAGCTGTAATATTAATTCATCAGTTTGGGTCAGGTATATGAAGTCCATTTCAGACTGTGGTTACGCTTGTGTGGGCAAGTGAAGAGGTTGACACTTTCAATTTCCTACAACAGTGTTCTCAGGGGTTTGCAGTGAGCTGCCTCTGGACTTCATCTTAATAACCCCCTCTCTTAGCCCCGACTGAAAGGTTTGAAGTTAATACACATTATGGCATTCCTATACAAGCAAACACATCTGGCAGACAGGCAGACACAAATATTGGATGTTGATATTGGAGAACAAAAGTTTGCTTAACGTACCTCCCTCCATTCTTTGGTTCCCACACCCTGCAAGTACAACACGACCACTGGAATGGAAAGAGGAGGACAAGAAGCCGAAGGGGAAGCAGGAGGAAGGAAAAAATAAGCAATTTTAGTGATTAGCCTGATGTTTCTTACATGTTGGCACCTGCAGCACCTGACGATATCAAAACACTCAGCTAAGAAAATCAATGTGACCCACTTTCATTTTCATTAGATCGGGTGAAGCTAAAAGCAAAGTCAATAATCCCTTAATAAAAACTATTACAACACCGTTAAACTAAAAAATACGGGGCAATTAATGGATTTTAGGTATTTAATCTTTAATGAATACATAACCATAAATAATAATGCAAAATAGGAGTACAGTTACACTTAAGGATAATGAAAACATATGATAACATAATGAATTTTTTCTTGGGTTCATTCACACTTTTCCACTAGTTCTATGGAACAGTGTAGGAGTAATCAATCTCTGGTTTATGCCTTGCAGATATGCTGTCACCACCTTCAGCCAGGCCTCTCCCCCTATTAATATCTGTAATTACAAAAAGAACTGCGTATGTGTATGAGGCATTACTTTAAGGACCAAATGAAACATAAACATCCTCCAAAGGAAAAAAGAAGAAAAAGAATGAGTTGTTTCCCCAAAACAACACATGTTTACACTCAAATGAAAAAGCCCGATAGCAGCCATAGTAACAGTGCAGCAGTTATGATGTATTTTTGTAGTCCAACCTGGCAAGTTAGCATCGCACTCACAAAAAGCCAGTGGGATTTGGCAGAAAATAAGCTCTGTGGCGAACAAAGGTTTATGATGATTATGATTTTTGAACATGTTTTGTTCAGCCAAAAAATCTTCACAAGTAAACACTACTTTTATGATTTTTGAAGGGTAAATGTGATCGCCAGAAGTAACATGCTAACGTTGGGCTATAAAAGAACGTCACCACCACTAAACTTCCAACTTGTAATTAAAATCTACAAGTTAGAAAGTTTGAGTTGGAATAGTTTGCAAGAGTGCTAGAGTAAATATAACATGGCTGTAAAGGCAGTGACTAGATAAGGCTCCAAGTTCAGACATTTAATTATGTCTTATTTAGCCACTTATTAGTCTTTTTTTAGACAAGTAAAAGCTTTAAAATTCACATCTGTGGTATTTACTGCCATATTTTATGTTGTAGATCAAAACGAGAAAATCTCTTAAGCTTGTGTTAACCACAGACCTTATTTCAGGCATTTAACCATAAAACTATTCAAAAAATCATTGACTTCAAGGCGAGGCAACCGGAGGTGCAAAGATGCTAACTCTGTTTATGGTTTTAGGACTCATTCCTGACGCTCTCTATTATGACTTCTGTCATTATTCTCAACAATGGTTGGATGTCTTGTCATGAAATTCATCATAGTCCCCGGAGCATAAATCCTATTGACTCTGGTGATCCCCTGAGGTTTTCTCCAGCACCACAAGGAGGTTGACAGTTTTGGTTCAGAGTGAAATATCTCAACAACTGTTAGATTGTCATTAAATGTGTTACAACCAGTCATGGTGTTCAGAAGATTAATCCCAATGTTGGTCATCCACTGACTTTTCATCTAGTGTCTCAAACTCAATTATATAAATTAATGACATACCTAACAACCTCAACTTTGTGTTTAATGTTAACTTGGTTGCATGTTAACATGCTAACACACTAAACTGTAATATTACATTAAATGATGAATAAATACAAAAATAATTGATAGATAAATCAAACCTATGAAATGTTCACATAAAAACTAAAAGAATGATTGGTTAATAAAACTTAGGACTGTGGGTAAGACGGGTATATCTTTGAAGACTAGAAGCATATACCTGAACAATTTGTAGTGCAAACAAAGCCTTTGCCATTATTTGGACATCTTTTTTTATTTGGTTTTAAATTAACATTACAGCCCTATAAAGTTGTTAGTCTCTAAGTATTGTTAAAATAAGTGAGTGAATATAAGCCTAAGTTAAAGTATGGGTCCCCTGCCAATATTTGTGCTGTACTGTTTACAAAACCCTACTGTTCAGCAAACATTACATTTGTCTTCTGAGGAGAAATCTGGCTTCGAGTACAGCTGCATAAATATGCAGTAAGGCAGAAGAAGCCCAATTATAACCCACACATTCATCATGCTGTCACGTTAGGATCAAACATATATATGTTCATGCATATGCAAACAAACAACATTCACTAAAGGCTCTTATGGGATGTGTTAATAATTGACCAAGTGTTGCTGTTTGTGTCTAGACGGGCACCATCAGCCACTGTGTGCCTCTGTGAAGTTTGGACATTAGCTCTAATGAACTTGAAACTGTCTGCACGATTAAAACCACATTTTCCCTCCTAATGAGCAATTAACAGAGGGGAGATAACAGAGAAAGGGCAGCGGGCAGTGAACCTTGTGGGCGCTGCGTCTTTAGAGGAAAACAATCTTTGTCAGACTGTTAACAATACTGGAAGAATACAGTGCTGCCTGAAAGGGTTTTGTAAATCTGAGAATTACAAGTTAATCAGTTTGTGAATAGCATGCAGCCTTCAATTTAATTACAGAAAAGACGACGTAAAAGACTCCAGGGATTAAATCTGTTTGCATCAAAGACCTTCCCTTAATGCCCTAATGATGTTCAAGAGACAGAGAGTATGTCTCTTTATCGAAGTCACAAGACCTTTGTGTTTCCCCAAGGTTGCAGAGTAACAGCGCCACAGCCTGACAGTGGGCTCAGACAAATCCACGTCGTCGAGGCTACATCAGTGCCGGCCACGTCCGAAGAAGCTGGCTGATTGCCTGCTTTATGGAAAGTGACTGAGAGAGGAAAGAGCCCATCTGGCCAGCCACAGAGCAGTCAGATCACTAGGCAATTCATTGTCACTGCTCCTGCACCCTGCTCCAACTACAACTCCTGACAGCAGTCTGGATGCTGGACGGGTACGCAGGTGTCTCTGAACATAAATGAATCAGAACTGAGCACAAATCAGATAAGTTTTCACTCTGAAATAAAGTACAGGAGAATCATGGATCTCCAGCAAATGGGAACAGACATTTTTTAAAAAGGACACCCCTGGATGTAATGTCTGTATACCATTGTATGCTTAAGCACAAAAATAGGCACACACATACACGTTTGAGTGTGTGAGGATGAAACACCGATTTAACATATACACACAGAATTACAATGCCCAGATTCATGGCTGTATATAACTTCAACTTTAACAAACGATATAGAGACAAACACTTTATTGGAGACAAAGTTTATAAGAACTACTTCCCTTTGCTGGCTCCCTCAGCTCTTTTTCCCTCTGCCTCTGTCACCTCTTTAAAGGGCGCATTGTCACTGTAATGTACAACATTATATAATTTGCAAAGCCGCCAACTTGCTCCCAGGTAAATGTCAAATGACATACTGTAGCTAACCCACACTAGAAAGACCATGGAAAGATGTAGAAAATAATTATTGCACCTAAAGCTAGCGTTACCAAGGATTTCCAAGATAAATATTACTATGAGGCTATGGCGTTTTTACTTGTTACCTAAGACAACAAGGCAATAATGATACTTTTACAAAAGAACTGGCCTAACTTGGGCACTGAAGAAGAAATTTGTGAGGTGTATTAATCTACTCTGGACACTTTGGCCTGTATGTCAAACAAACACTGACATACCTGCTCCATTAATGTAGCTTTGGGATGCCCAGTCACCCAATGTTAACTTACTAACTGTCATGATCCACTCCTGGCTTTCCATCCTACCGCCAGTTCTGCCGGTATTTTTCCTGATCACCTGCCTTCCACTCTCACCTCATCAGTGCAACCACCTTTACCTGTGTTCCCTCACCTGATTTAAACCCACTCTTTCCACTCAGTCTCTGCCAGATTGTCTTTAGCAGCATGCAAAGCTCTCTCGTGTTGTTTTCCGGATTGCTTCCTTGGTTTCGACACTACTTGTCCCTGACCTGTCCTCGTCGTCCCTGCCCAGGTAACCTGAACAGCCTTCTGTCCCTGACCCCTCTGCCTGCTCGCCCCTTGTCTGTCTCCAGTTTGCTCCCCAGAGGTCTACGCTAGAAAGTCGGACTGTTTTGGCTAGCTCAGGTTGTGGACTATTCCTGTGTACCTGCTGTGGATTTTACGACCCTGTTTGGTCAATAAACTGTTAAACTTTTCCAACGCTGGTCTCAGTCTGTGCTCTTCTTGGGTCCAACCTCACGCCCATTACAGTACAATCTGGCCAGAAATGGACCTAGCTCAGATTGACGACCGGATATCTCGGATGGAGGACATGTTAAATCAGCTGGTTGCTGCCTCTGCAGCTGCCTCAGCAGAGAATCAGCAGGGCCTGGCACAAGTGCGGCATGAAATGGCGAGCATCCACGCCCGCACCCAGTCTCTGGAGCTCTCACCTGCTTCGCTGGGGGCCAGATCTTCATCACCGGCTTCGGCAAGCGCTGCTGCTCCAAGAGTTGTTGGATCTGGTCCAGGGGAGCCGCTCAGTCACAGACTCTGTCATTGACTTCCGCACCATGGCCCCCATGTGTGACTGGAACCCGGCTGCTCTCTGTGATGTCTTTACGCGGGGGCTGGCTGGGCACATTAAAGATGAACTCGTAGCTTATGAACTGCCGTCTACAGTGGACGGTCTAATTGAGCTTGCCACCCGTCTCGACCTGCGCATCCAGGCTCGCAGGAGGGAGAGACGCTCAGAGTTCCAGTCACGTTCTGCCCGGCCACACAGTTCCCCTCACTCCAGTAACTCCTGCCTCCTCCTCGTTAGCCTCAACAGCTCCTGTAAGTGTGGAAGATCCTGAGCCTATGCAGCTGGGTCGCACCCGCCTCTCACTTGAAGAGAGGGAGAGAAGGCAGAGACTGAACCTTTGTATGTACTGCAGCCAGCCAGGACACTTTGTCAGCCGGTGCCTGGTAAAAGCCAGAGCTCACCACTGAACGGAGGCATACTGGTGAGCTCCATCGTTGGTCCTGCCTCCCCTAAAAGACCCAGCCACACTGGTGAGTTCCTGCTGCCTTCT